TTTCCTAGGCGACGGTGGAGCCAGCTTCTATGGTTGTGGTTGTGCCTCTGAGCCTCCCTAGCTCTCCTGGGTTGATTGATGAGAGGCCGATATAACCAAAGTTTGTTCATATAAATATGCATGCACCTATAACTAGACACTCTTGAAGCTGAACATGACAAACTGTGAATGCAGCTGGATGAGTAGGGCTGCTGAATGAGCAGTTTTGTAGAACCAAGAATGACACCAGAAAATCTCACAATACTCCTAAAAGGATATAGAAAATAATAAATTCAAAATACGAAAAAAATATAGAAAAATGTAAATCAAAGAAAACCAAACCCCAAATAAATAAATTAAAAGAAAAATAAACAAAACCTCCAATGACGTGTTGGAAATGAATTCAAGGTGTTGGTTGTTGTGGAGAAAACGATCAGAACCTGTTGGGATTCATGATTAACATCACACTAATAATTTCAGTGGATTGACAGACCATGAATTTCATCGTCGCCTCGTCTTCCCCCAACATCCATCAACACACCATTAACCAGTGTTTTGAAATAAGAAAACTAAAGAGAGTGGAGAACAATCAGAAGGTAACCTTCTTTTGCTATGAAGGTTAGAGTGAAGGAGAACATTTATTTGACTGAAGCAATTGCCAAAGTTTATTATGAAGGTTAGAGTAGCCACCGTGTTTTCTCTTTTATTTGGAAACTTCTAGCAAAACGTTCTCCCTCACTCTAACCTTCAGTCAACTTCTGCAATTGATTGAAGCAAGTGCCGAATGGCGCAGCTTCTGCTATGAAGGTTCTCCGCTCTCTCCGATCACGATGGTGCCAGCTTCTGCTATGTATTTTAAGAAGAGTACCCATCTCCCGAATGGCGCCAGCTTCTGCTATGAAGGAATGGCTATTCGGGTCGTGCTTGGAGATGAAACGAAGCTCACAGATCGCTTCAGTTTGTTCTGAAATGGAACTTAGCCTCTGTACCAGAGCAAAACGGGAAGGGGAAGAAGAGAGACCAAGGGAGAGAGAGGGAGGACTTCGGAAGTTTGCCGTCACTGTTGTTCGTGATCGTGAGGTCAAAGAAGATGAACAGTATTTTTCTTTTGGGGATTAAAAAATATTGCAACGACGAAAGGGGGTCTTTGTCTCATGATCATAATACAGGGAGTCTTTGTCGCAAAACAAAATACAGGGGGTCTTTGTCACAGACCCCATAGTACATGGGGGTCTTTATAATTTGCCCAAAAAAAAATGAATGGTACACAAGCTAAAATGAGGGGTTAAGCGACATGGTCTTCACACGCCTAAATTATGTTTCTCACAAGTAGAACCACCCTCTAGATTCCATTTGCTACAGGGTGAGTGCCCCATTCGTACACATTTTAGTTTTAGCATATATGATGCATGTGTAAATGGTAATTTATACATCAGTTTGCAGTTACAATTTAGTTTGGTTTGGTTTCTAAAATACAAGAAATTGAACTAAACTGTAAACTGCAATTAAGAAGACCTTAAATTGAACAAATCATTTTTATGTCCAAACTGAAACAAACTACAAATTTTAGTTATGGTTTAGCGGTTTAGACCGTATAATAATAAACACCCTTAAGAAATACACAAGTAGCAATGGTTTGGATCATTTTTGTAATTTCTAAACTTTTGTGAAAGTATTTTGGTAATTTCAAAGGGAAAAAAAGGTTCATATTGCATTGTATTTCTATTTCTATTTGGATGGAAGTGATTTTATCATTTTATGATGTTTTCTAAACTTTGGAGATGAAGTTTAGGTGTGTAGTGTGGTTTCAAAGGTTTAGGCTAATAGGATTTCTTGAAATGGCATTTTTTCTTATTAACGGGGTTAACGCCTTAATGGGGCTATTTCTAGATAAAATTTGAAAGGATGGTGGTGGAGGCTGATTAATTAGTTTTAAATATGCTTTGACCAAGAGAAATTTAAGAGGTAGAGTTCTCAACCAATAAGAGAGCTTGGATTGGAATCTTTACTCGATCAACAAACTAAACATGGAGACATTTTTTATCAAACCATTTGAGTGAGTGTTTGGATATCTAGGATTCAGTGGGAGTGTGAGACGAGTTTATAGTTGGTTCAGATGGATAGGTCTAGGACTTGAAGTTTTGACTTATGATGAATGTTGAAACGGAATCTAGGTATGATGGTAAGTCAAATGGTGGAGATTGGAAGTGAAATTTTGTGGATAAGTGTTTAAAAGTGTTTGGTAATTTGATTAAAACAATGGGTTTTTAATCCAGTTGGTAGAATGGGAGATCTCATAGGCAAAAAGCATCATAAGTCACATTTAAGTTGGCTAATCTAAGGTCTTGAAATGGAATCAATATTGGTTTTGTGATGGAGAGGTTTTCTCATGAAATTTAGCAAGTTGATTAAATATGGACTCTCAGGCCTAACAACAAGGCTTAACTGGTTTAGGAGTGTGTTAATAGTTGGTTTTAAGATCCAAAGGCTTTAATTAATCAAAATATTGTGGGATCTAAGAGTTTGGGGTCAGAATTTGGTGTGTTTGGGACCTTTGGGTATTTTAGTGTTCTCCAATAAAGCATTGATTACTTCCAAGGTCTAGCGCACCACCTCCTATCATTACCCCATCAAAGTGAAACTTGACTACGAACTCTAAAGCTTCAAAGAGGGTCCGAGCTTTAATAACTAAGGTTGAATGATAAGGACTCTACATGTCTCCAACATATACAAATTCTCCATGACAATCCCTAATGATGCAACCTTCCACTAAGGATGTGTTTGGTTTGAAGAAAAAAATAAGAAAAAGAAAGCAAAGATAGGAAAATCTTTACAAACTTTGTATGGGTTTTACTACCTTTTTCTTCAAGCCAAACATAACCTAAAAGTCAAAGAGCTCATTGCTTCAAAATTCACTTGCACCATTGAGGTGAAGGCCTAAACCAGCTTTCAAGGTGGAGAACAAAGGTGTTAAGAGCTGAAGATTGAAGAGGAATTGTTCTTGACTAGAGTTGAGAGAGAGAGAGAGATTTAACATTTTTTCATATACCCCTCACGAGTTAGTACCCTAAATAGTAACATCACTAACTATAAATGTTAATTAATATTACTTATAAAGGTGTGAATAGAGTCTTGGTTTTTAGAATTTTCATTGGACATGAATCATCCCTTAATCACTAGAAAATAAAAAGGTATTTACACTCTATTTCATGAGTCATACGAAAAAGGAAAACAAAGCCTAATGAAGCACATCAACATTGAAGAACAGAGCGTCTTCTTTTTCTTTTGTCAATAATCCTCATCAAATAAATAAAAACGAAGATAAAGAAATAATACAAAAGAAACTACATGAAAAATAACATGGGATCATCAAAGCGGAGCTAATTCTCCAAGGGTATATTGATTGTTATTCCAAAGTGGTTTGATAGATTATAAGAATACATGCATATCTAGTTAGGGATGCAAACAGGTCGGATCGGATTAGAATCATAGTATATATGAATCCTATCTGATACTATGGAAAGCAAATCTGATTCGATCCAAAGATCTGATCGGATATCACAAACATGGATTTGAATTCAAATCTGATGAAGAAGTCGGGTATTTGGATATGATCTGATCTGATTTAAATAAAAAAAATATATAAGTATCTTTTCAACTATTTTCATAATATATATACATGTTTTTTATAAAAAAAAATAAATAATATAACAAACTAAAAAAATACAATATAAATAATATATTTATAAATAAATAACATATATATCGAATTGAATCTTCTCAGATCAAATAAGGGGTGATCCGAATTCAATCCAATTTATGATCAGATCCTATTATCTAATTTGAAAATCCAAATGAGAATATACGAATCCAACAAAATGAGATCAGACTTTGGATCTTGATCCGATCCATTTGCACCCCTATGCATATTACACGTTTGAGCATATTACATAATGAATGAATAGATCACCACAAGAACCCATTCAATCCACATTAAGAATAGCAGTAAACATTAGAGAATGCATGCAACCAAGATCACCATAGGAACCTGTGCAATCTTAATCGTTCCACCAAAATAAATAACCGAAAAATCGAGCAAATGAGACAAAAGGTGAACATTTGGCACCAGGTAGGAGTGAAAATCACAGTAACAAAGAGATGCAAAACTAAACAGGGTATAAAATTTATCTGATTCAGACTTGCACCATCAACAAATAAGGGTGTCAATATTGGACCGGTTTTGGATTGGACCCATCCAGTCCAAAATCAATTTGGACGGATTGGATGGATCAACCAGATATATTGGATTGGACTAATCCGGTTCAAAATATTTATTAGATTGGATTGGACCTGATCCATCCCTAACAAATTTACATTGGATTGGGTTGTATTAAGCCAACATCTGGTCTATTGATATAAAATAAGAATAAATGTGTGAATGGACTGGGTTTGGGTTGAAACTAATCTAAATCAAAATGAATTTTAACAGATTAGATGGTCAGACATTAAATTGGACCAGTCTAAAATGGTCCAAAACATTTATTGGATTGGATTGTACTTGATCCATTTATAATGAACTCACATTAGACTGGACTGGATTGGACCAAATCCAGTCCAATTGACACCCCTATCAACAAACATATCTCACTGAAATTTCTGAAAATACAAATTTAAATCTTATTCAGATTTGCAAAGCAAATTGGACGTAAAGGCTGTATTTGTTTGTGGTGCAAATGCCGGTTTGATATATAAATGTACTTTGGTTCAATTTTGCAAGTGCTTGTAAAGCATACATTTGTGTATTGATAATGGCAGCTATGGGGAATTTTTGAACAGTACATATTTGTTTTTTCACTGGAAACAAGCACAGCCAAAAGTATAAATTTTGCACCAGTTAGGAGTGTGAATCATATTAACACAAACAAGGGGATGCAAAACTAAACTGGGTGCAAAATTTATATCCGATTCAGGTTTGCACTGCAAAGAAACAAGCCTATTAAAATTTCTGAAAATACAAATGGTAATGACAAGTAATAACTTCCTTATTCCATATCTTTTATCACAACATCTTCAATCTCCATTAACTGGTGTCTTGATACAATACCATCACATACTATGACCAACGGATGTAGACAATCTCATGAACAACTTGGCTTGATTAAAAAGAAGAAAAGAAAGTCATGAACCACTCATAATCAATACAGGCGAATAAAAAGAAGAAAAGAAAGTCACCACCACCACGGATTTATGAACTTAACCACACACTCCATTGCTTATATAGCGCTGCATCAATTCATCTTTCTGTAAACACTCTCTCTGTTGTTCTCCAGCTTTTCATTTCCCAGATCTTAATGTGAAAGCCATTAGGGAATTGTAAAATAGGAGTCCGAATTATGTCACCTCCTTTGATTTTTGTCCACCTTACACACAATCAAACTTCAAATAATCAGTCTCCTCTCTCTTTAATTTGCACATCTACATCCCACCAAATGAATTGATTACCTGTAATTTGTGACCAAGATGTGGAGAAAGATGGCCATCACCATCCTGCAATAATCTGCTCCTAAGCATGCTCTCATGCCTCCACCGAAAGTTAAGAAATTCTTACACGAAGCAGTCGATCCCAGGTCCTGTGTTACAGAGGAGACATGGTGATGAACAGAAAAGCAGTGAAGAAATTGAGCTAGCAGATGGACTCAAAATGTAGAGTGCCTCATCTGAAACAACCTTCCACCTCCATGGGTTGAAAGCAAGTGGATCTTCAAAGAGATTGGGATTCAAATGGACAGCAGTAGGAACTATCATGATTGTCCATCCTGACGGAATTGTATATCCTGCAAATGAATTAGATTGGACAATAAATCTCCACTAATCCTGAGGGCTAAGCATACTGTATATATACAAATGGCTGATTCATTAATGTGACAGTATACCATTTATTTCAATATCCCTTATGGCCTTGCTTAGAATCCCAAAGGTAATGTTAGCCAACCTAAATGTTTCATTGATCACCTGTGTATGTGTAATTCAAACACATTCATGTTCATGAGTTTCTTTAGAGAGAGAGAGAGAGAGAGAGAGAGAGAGGAGCTGTTTAGTTGCCAAGACTGCTCACATAAGAAGTAAAAGTCATTGATTTATATTCATCCCATGTGATGGTAGAATCAGTATTGTTTACCCTCCTGCTGCTAATAATTGCTTCGTGTTCATCCTGTAAAAGACTGTTTCCAATAATTATAACCCTCCTCCTAACATAAATGTATTAATCAAAACACAATAGCATCTACAAAATTATATGAAGCATGTAATAACAGACCCTGAGTTCCTGCAGCACAGAGGGGTGGTCTGTAAGTAAGATAATGGCTAAAGCTATAGAAGTGGCAATTGGCTCAATGTTGGCACTCAGTATCGAAAACATTGTGGTAGCAACGAAATTGTCTGATAAGAATGTCTCGTCCCTCATGTCTTGGATTACGTGATCAAGGATATCGCCATGGCTTCTGTTTGGTATAGCTCGTCGTCTCTCCTCCAGAATACCCTTCAGCATATTCACTGCCTTCTCCTTGTTCTGGATGATGAGATTATTAGTAATAATCATCAAAATGGTTAGCTAGCAAAGCACCCAGAACCAGAAATGAATAAGGATGAATTCAGAATTCTTGACTGATTCTATTTAACTCTGTACCTTCAAAGCTCTATACAGAGCAGTTCCAGGGATGTTCAAAGGGAAGCACATCATGATTTCTGAGAAGTTTGTGAACAGCTGAGATACATAACTCTCAGAGAGCTGGGTTATATCAGTCTCGTAATTAAAGAGAAGCTTGGCAGTTAAATCAAATACCATCTGTAAGAGACAAATTAAAGCTGGGTTTTAATCTAGAGAAATGCAAGAGCTAGTGCATGTATATAGAAATGAGCAGTGGCTGAATTCAATATTACAGATAAGAGACTGAGTTGCACTTCCACAGACTCCTTAGTCGACCACAAGCGTAAGTGTCGTCGCACCATCTCCTCCACCGGAGGAAGCAATTTTTGTTTTAGGGTCTCAGGGCCAAAGTGTTTCAGGACCAAGTTTCTGAGGTACTTGGTAATTTTGTCAGCTGATACAGTAGTAGGAAATTCTCCCCGGTCAGTGGTCTTGGACAAGGAATCCATGTACCATTTCTGCACCAGTTTTCCTTCTTGGTTGATGATGAAGTAGTTGAACTCAGGGTCGGAGGATATCACAACCGGCCTTCCGGCCACACTGGTTTTGAACAGAGATCCATACCTGCAAGAAATTCATCATCTCCTTCAATAAAGACTGAAACTGAGAGGAATTTGAATATATATAGATGTTGGGGGAGCATCATCTTGCTTTTCCATTCCCTTCTTGAGGAAAGGTGGAAGATCCAAGGAGTTGCCATGGGTGAAGAACTGGAAGGTCTCTCCAATTAATGGCATACCCATGGAACCTGGAGGGAGTCTCCCTCTGCATTTGGGGTTCCTCCATTTGTAAACCAGATGGGTGATGCCTATGATAAAGAGACCTTCAAAACATAACCAAATGGAAAACATTTCTCCCATCTAGGTTATGTCTTGGCTTCAGTGCATACTAAGAGAAGATCAGCAGTATATTGGCATTCTTATCGGTGGAAATGAAATCATCTATATCAGGCTAAATGTGAACACTGAGTGACAATGCTCATCAGGCTACGCTTGCTAAAGGACAAGCAATGGTCCCACCAAAACAGTCATGTTATCTAATGTAAAGTGGGGCCACATCAATATATTGAAGGCTGTAGAAGCACTGTGGTCGGTGAGCTAAACATTAATTGTGACATGCAGGTTGTAGAAGCACTGTGCCTGTTTTGCTGTTTGTATGGTGGTGGGGATGGGTGGGGGGGTAAGACGTGAAGTGACGCGGTTGGATTTGGGGTCCGTTTGTTTTTTATAAAGTTATTTAGGCAGATAAATATATTTATTTGGGCAAGTATTTTATGAGAAGTGAGAAACATTTATTTAGGTAAATGTATTTATTCATGTTATTTTATTTTTTAGGTAAATAAGATAATGATTGTTTTAATTATAAAAATTCTTTATTAAAAGAGACAAATTTGTCTCATCCAAGTGTTGGCAATTTTCTCTCAAATGAAAAAGTTATTTATCCACCTAAGCGATGGATATCACTTACCCGAATAAATGATATTCAAAGAAAATAAATTTTCCATAAACCCCACATACATCTGAAAAAAGAATATAGGTATCTTGATCAATGAAAACAAAAATTCCATTTACCAACTTTCTTCCTTTTCAAAATCCAAAATTTGAACACACCCTTAGTGTCATAATAGGGGAACAGTGAAAAAAGAGAGAAAGTTGTATGAGGACCGATGTTATAATGGGGAATGCATGAGGAGAGAGACTAATAAGAGTCTTTTAATTACACTTATCATCATCATTGTCTATGTCTGATCCTAATTAACTGAACATTCAACAACCAAACAGGTACCTATGCACCACTTCTATATGAAATACCAGCAAAATCTGCTTGCAGAGATGTAGAAAACCAAGCAGGGGAGACCTCCAAACAGGGAATATCCCTTCTTTATTTATGGAGTCAAGCAAGTGAACTGACCAATTGTGATCCCACCTAGCGCAAGCAAGTTTGAGCTAGGTTTAAACCTGTAAATCTGTAGATATCAATAAAAAGCGGCCATACTTCAAGGGAGCAGTTAAAAGATTTGAGATTTAACAGCTTGACTATTGGCAAGAGTCCCAAAAAATCAGAATATTCTTCAGACCCCAAGCTTTACAATACTCCTTTATGGCAGAAATTTCAGTATATTCAGCTGACTTGGCTTTATATGGCCCATAACTAGCAAACAAAAAACTCCGAGATTCATCATTGTCGATGCCTTATCCTAATTATATGGAATCCACTACAATCGGCTACACCTGTTTGGCGAATTAGTGCTTAAATATTTTTGTTTATTTTATGCTATATTTGGTTCCCATGTAGGGGTGTTCACGGGCCAAAAATAAAATCCAGCCCAATCTGCAAATTTCCTGGCTTAGGCTTAGATTTTTGTGTAAAATCCAATCCAGGCCCAAACCCGCATCAAGCGCACAAAATTCCAGGCCAAGCTAGGGCCTAATACTTCAGTTGATTCTTTTTTTATAAAAATACTTAAGTCAATTCAAATATGAGGATTGTTTTGTTAAGCAAGCCAAGGCCTTCTATAGATGAAGGAAAACCCTTCATTCTCATTCCCTAACTAATGACTTGGGAAAACACTTGATGCTATTCAATCTAAGGTAGTGTTCGAATCGAGGAAGGCGATCAGCTAGTTCTTGCTGGTAGGTTGGGGTTGAGTTTCAATGACGAGGCCGTGTTTCAAGATCTGTGATAAAAAAATAAGTCAGAGGCCCGAGGAATTATCTCCGGGTAAGTACTCCGACACTCAAATCAGTAGGATGTGATGAATGGTTAGGCCAAGCTATAAGGATGTTGGTCCGAGCCAATTAGTAGTATGGGTGTTAGAAGTTGGGGATCCCTTACCTCGAGCATGGAGTACCCTTTTATAGCCGAAGATCTATGTCCTGGTTGGATTGAGCTTTCGGGGTTGTCGGGATGAGGTTAGCCGCCGAGGTATTCGGGATAGAGTCTCAATTCCCAACGAAGTCATCTTCCTTATTCCTTTTTATCCATAGTTGTGCTCATCCACGTGACGTGTAGTTGACATGGCTGAAAGGTGAAGATGGGGGGCCACCATAATAGCATAGCTCGGTTGAGCTATGCCGACGTGGCCGCGAGTTAATTGAGCGGCCACGTGTCTTGCAAGGCCAGCTTAGCCATGACTCGAACACCACTCCCCCAGTTCTGAAGTTGAGGAATGAAGTAGTCCAATTTGTTCTTTAGCTGAAGAACTTCAAGTTGATGTTTGGATGGGCGTCTGGCCTCTTTGGTGTTCCTCGACACCTATCCCAATCTTGAGAACCAGGCAATATGGAACGTGGCCAAGGAATCTTCCCATCGTTGGTTACAGAACGTGGCCGGTAATTATTTTAAATTTTGGTAACTTTTAGTGATTTTCAGAATTTTTGTAAAATTCGATAACTTTTAGCAATTTTCAGAAAATATATTCAACATTCTCTATTAATAAATATGGTATTTTTTTAATTTATTAAAAGTTTAAAACTACTGAAAATATTAATGAATGGAAAACATAATTACTTTCAACATAGTAAAAATTTTAATTAAATAAATTAATATTTTTTAATTAAATAGTTTACTATAATTATGGTAAAAAAACCTAGCCAAAGAAGTTTATTTTGGACTAAAGTAATTAAACAAAAATAACATAGTAACACAATAAACAACAAAAAAATGGGTCGGAACTGAGATGGATAGAGCAAAGATCCGACCCATTTGAATAATCTCTATCAACCCACTTTGCATCTACAGTGATCTCTCGAATGGGCAATCACAGTAGATGTGTCCCAACTAACACAGGTATGCTGAATGTAATAGCAAAACGCCAAAACTAGCTAGTGCAATGAACACAACCCTTCTTCCATTTCTATAGTGATCACCCAAATCAACTACATGTAACAATAACGGTGGAGGTATGTTGGAGAATAACTAAATGGTTTACAATAGCAGTGAAATGTAACAATAATTGAATGATTAACAAATTGATTCACCTGTGGGGGAGGTTTTAACTGGTAGAGGTATGTCGGCAGTGATTTCCAACTGAACTTAATTCATGAGAATCAAAGGAAGATTGAACTGGAAGAGGAGAAGATGGTGGTTTAGAAACACGATGGGGCGGAGCCCCTATTTCGTTGCCTACAAGAAGAAAGATGATTCCCCTGTTTTGGTAATTAAAGAATAACTGTATTGATCGATATTCAAAAGAATGATAATTCTGTGTTGCCTTTCAATGGAGGCAATCGTCCCATATATATACAACTACATCATGATCAAAATAGCAAGACTAGAAAATAGCAACTTCCTAAAGCAATATTAGTAACTTCCTAAACAATATCTTTCTAAATATCTACAATATCTCCATTACTCCCCCTCAAGTTGGAGCATGTAGGTCACGTATGTCCAACTTGCGAAGAAGAAAATCGAACTGTTGTCGGCCAAGTGCTTTTGTCAAAATATCTGCCAACTGATTATAAGTCTGTACATGAGCAGTCTCAATAGTCCGGGCATGCAAGGCATCACGAACAAAGTGACAATCAACCTCTATATGTTTGGTGTGCTCATGAAACACCGGATTAGCTGCAACATACATAGCGGCACGACTATCACAATGCAATTTCATAGGTCTGGGATGTTCCACCCCAAGATCACGTAGAACACTCTTCAACCATTTCAATTCACACGTCGTGGCAGCCATAGACCTGTACTCTGCTTCTGCAAATGACCGTGAGACGATATGTTGCTTTTTGGTTTTCCAGGAAACAAGAGACCGTCCAAGCATTACAAAGTATGCAGTCAAAGAGTGCCGTGTCAAAGGACAACTAGCCAAGTCGGAGTCACAATAAGCATATAATCTGAGATCACTATTGACGCTCAAGATGATTCCCTGTCTTGGATTCCCTTTTAAGTGTCGGACCACCCGTAGAGCTGCATCCCAATGTTCCTGTCGTGGTTGTTGCATAAATTGAGCCAATATGTGCACAGAATAACAAAGCTCAGGCTGTGTTATAGTAAGATAAATTAATCTCCCTAACAAAGCTCAGGCCGTGTTATAGTGCGAGTCGATGATTTTGTTCCATGGGCAGATGGGCCAGTTTAGCCCCCAGCAATCCTGTTTTAGAAATAATATCTAGTGCATATTTTCATTGATAAAGATAGATGCCCTCATCTCCTCTGTCGACTTCGATGCCAAGAAAATACTTTAGCGTCCCAAGATCCTTCATGTGAAAGCACCGACTCAGATATTGTTTGAATTGATGTATCATTTCCCCATTGTTTCCTCCCACAACAAGATCGTCCACATACACCAAAACACATAGTGTAGCTCCGCCTTTATGGTAAGTGAATAAATAATAGTTTTAGTGCGATTGAGTAAACCATACATCTTCAACACCGTGCCCAATTTGACAAACCAGCATGCACTTGTCCTTGCCACACAGCGCCAAAGATAGACCCCATCATGCTTCTCACCCACACCAATCACTGTCCTCGAAGTGGGGTCCTACATTACACATAATTTGTCAGAAAACGTGACTGTACATTTTTATTCATCAATAAATTGAGACACGGATATCAAATTGCAATTCAAGTTGGGAACATATAAAACATGTTTTAAGTTCAATCCTTTCCCATGTTAGACAGTTTTGTATGCCCTTAGCTTCAATCATTTTGATGTACTTTTGTTATTTAGTGGAAATAAATAAAGTGCATGTTTGATTCATGTTGTTT